AATTACCAGATTCAATGGGCACACCTTGACTGCCATTGGCCACATCACACTTGATGTGAAAACATCGCCAGTTTTCTTAAAGTAGACGTTCATAATCGTAAGTGACCCATCTCCCTACAATAGGATTCTTGGGAGACCTTGGTTAATCAAGCTGGATGTCATCACTTTCGTCAAGTATCAAAAAATCCATTTCCGCATCCCAGGAAGAGGAATTGAAGAAATAAAGTCTGACCAGGCTGCATCTCAACGATGTACTGTGCAAGTATTGAAATCAAAGAAGAAGACCTTTACCCCTGTAGAGGCTACCGAGGTCCAAAATGATGAAAAAGCTACCCAATAGCAATTACAACAAGAGATCAAAAAGATGGAGCCCAAGCAGACGAGATAGGATGAAAACCCGAAAAACGCCGAGGACATCATTCTTAATCCCCAGCAGCTGGAAAAGATAGCTAAAATCGGCTCACGTCTAAACCCAGTTGAGAAGGAAGAACTCACGACTTTCCTTAGAGAAAATCATGACGTCTTTGCATGGTCACCTTCCGACATACCCGACATCGATCCTGAGATAGCTTGCCTAGTAGGGCCTGCTGGATCTTCTTTTGGAGTTGTTGGTGGCCTGTAAATGCTCGGATTCAGCAAATATGCCATTGATCGAAATCGTCTTAGTTGGCGACTTTTCATCGGTGTTTGCGTTCCTTCTAGGTTGGGCAACAGGCTTGTCCAAGTACCTGTCGACCTTGCCTTTTTTCACGAGCTTCTGCAAGTAGTTCTTCCAAGTGTAGCAGTCGTCGATTGTGTGACCGGGACCTTGGTAGAATGCATAATAGTTAGTGTGATCCAACTTGGAAGTATCTCCCTTTGATTGTTTTAGCAGCTTGAACCACGGCTCATTCTTGATGTCACGAAGGATTTGGTGGATCAAGATTGAGAACTTAGAGTAGTTCTTAGTCGTCAGGCCTTCCTTGGCCTCTTGCTTACTTTTATTGTACTGCTTCTTGTCATCCTTCTTTTGAGCCATTGCCGACTCTTTTCGAAGCTGCTCGAGCGCCTTGTCTACTCGTTAAGCCTCATCCCAAAGTGCATCCTTATCTACCAGAGCAAAAAAGTCTGCAGAGTTGAATCTTCTTTAATGATCAATTCTCCAAACAGTGGGTGGTTTGCTACGAGTTCTTTTTGGAAGGCTGCACTTGTTATTGAGTCATCGCATCCGACTATCTTCGCCTTCTATGCATTGAACCTCTTCACATTGAGCAAATGGTCAGACTTTTTCTGGATCGAGTAGTATGATGAGTATTCTTTGGTAAAAACCAAAGAAAGATCATCAAAACTTCGGATAGATCGTGGTGGTAAGGTGTGAAACCATCTTTGCACCTTGCCTTGTGAAGTGGTGGCTAATATCTTGTACATAAGGGCATCGTTGTTCTGATAAAGGATCATCGTGCTTCGATAATGCTTCAAGTGCCTCTCCGGATCTCCATCTCCTTTGAAAGATGTGAAATATGGCATGTTAAACTTGCGCCGAAGCTCTACTTGCTCGATCTCGTCCGTGAAGGGTGACCTGCTCATGTTGGTTATGTCCCGTCATAGTGCTTCATCAGCCACTTTGTTGCGATGGAAATTACGCAATCGCTTATTTAAGAGCCTCTTTACCTCTTCTTGAACCTGTCTTTGTTGGGGTAGAAGAGCTCTCGGTTGCCCCCGATCTAGGCTGTTCTTCTACATGCTCAACTCGTCTATGCTGTGACGGCGGTGTATAAGGTACGTTCCTAGCAGATGAGGGATTTCTTCATAGGCTGCTGATCAAACTTGAGCTGGATTGAGTCCCTACTTCTCTCCATCCTTCGTGCTATCTACTCCGATGTGAGATGAAGGATACTCCTTGCGGGCCTAGCTATGAATGAACACTTTGCCTGGAAGGTTGTTCATGTTGACTACCGGATTGTGGCCCTAACAGTGAATATATGCTCATTCGTGGGCCTAATCAAGAGTGCACAGTCCTCTGCTCGCTAAGACGGGAGTATACACTATCTCAAGGGCCCAATCGGGAATGTACACTACCCGAATCCTCAGTTCATGGCTGGTCGAGTGGTTGCTTGCCGAGACACTGTTGGAGAGGTTCATCATCTGCCCTTGTCCTACTTTAGGACACCTCATCTAGGGCACGTTGGATCTCGCGCGTGCTGCAAAAGCTAATTCAACAAGGTCATCTGTTGCGCAAAGGTGCTTGTAAACTCTATGACTTGTCGAGACAAGTGCTATTTGCCATTCGAATTGGAAGAGCTTGGAAGGAATGCATCTCCTTGAGCAGTGGAAGTATGGTAGACTCCAGGCGTGAGATTCGAATTGGGGAATGTCAAATCCGCGGAGAAGTGTGGTAAAAATTCCCCCGGTTAAATCGTAGGCCCAGAAATTTGAAGTCCGGGCGGTTGAACTCATCTTGGACCGATTTGGGAAGGCCACTAGAGAAGGCTGGGCTGCGAGAGTGGGTTGTTTGGCGTGTGGTGCACGTGGGTGCGAGGCTAGGGCTTGACTTAGCAATGTGTTGAACTCGCATTGGGTTTCAGCGGCTCGGGCCCTTGAAGACTTGGGCCATGGGTTCTGCCGACGGTGGCCACCGTGGTGGTTGTTGCGGTGGTTAATAACAGGTGCCAATAGTTAACTGGTCTATATGAAGAGATAAGGTTGTTAAAATAAAGTTAGATGTACTGGATATGCCACATAGGCAAGTTAGTTAGGATTACTGTATATGTACTGTGATTTTTGCACTGTGTGAATTAAGAAGAATCAGTTCAGTTTCGTTGTTTTCTCTCTGCCTTCTCTCTAGATTTCTATCTTTCTTTCTCTACATTTCTCATTGATTCTTCCTCTATGTTTTTCAATCTCCATTGTTCATTAAGCTTTTCTTGATATAGTTAATATGGTATCATCACCGAAGGTTTCGATCTTCGGGGTTGTTCTTCCGCTGTGATTGTTGAGGGTTTCTTTCTGTTCACCAGGGTTTTTTGTAGCTGGTGGTTTGCTGGAGGTTCTTCGATGGGGTTTTCCAATCATGAGCTTAAGTTTCAGGTTTTGTTACTAAATTCTGCACTTCATCTATTTGCTTAAATGCCGTATTGAAAATTTGTTTCTTCGATGGGGTTTCTTGTATGCAAGTTCTCTGTTATGGCTGATAGCCATTTTCTGCGAGATTGTTGAAGGAATACAACGGCGAATAGCCATTCCTTTCTATTGCTTGATTAGTTTTTCTGACGATTGCTTGCAATTTCTTCCACACTAAGATCAAATGTATGCAATCAAATAGAGGTGGTGAGTTTACCAGTAAAGTTTTTAAGGAGTTTGTTGCTTTAAAAGGAATGACTCATATGATCTCTTGTCCTTACACACCTCAACAAAATGGTTTAGTTGAGAGGAAGCATAGGCATATAATTGAAACTACTATTACCTTAATGAATGTTGATGGATTACCTCAAGAGTTTTGGTTTCATTCTTATGCTCATACAGTGTATTTGATTAACAGAATGCCAAGTAAAATTTTGCAAATGGCTTTTCCTTATTTTGCACTATTTAGTAAACCACCATAGTTACATGACTTAAAGAATTTTGGATCAGCTGTGTATCCATATTTGAGGCATTACAATGATTCCAAACTTCAACCTAGAACATCTGTGAGTTTGTTTCTAGGTTATGCTCCTGGGTATAAAGGTGTTATTTGCTACAGTTTGGAATCAAAAAGATTAATTTTGTCAAGGCATGTTCTGCATGATGAATCAATCTTTCCAGCTAAGATGGTTAAACCTAGAATTCCAGAAGTAATGAGAAATGTTCCTACAGTTCACAACTTTCCAATTCTAGTGAATGTTGTTCATTCCACTACATATCCAAGTCTGCCGAGCACAGTCTATTGGTTATAATCCTAATTCTCCTTCATTACAAGGATCACAAAGCATCCTAGGTTCTAGTTCTAACTTCAGACAAGCTTCTCTAATTTATGATTCTTCTGAGAATAGTAGTGATGCTACAACATATCAATCAGTAACAGAATCTTCACAATGATCTAAACTTCAAACTCTCAGGCTCATTCTCAAGGTCAAGATCAACTTTAACCTTTGTTGCCTAACCTCAATTCTGATCAGCTTCAGGTAATTCTTCCTTTCACTCCTAGTGCATCTTCAACTTCTGATTATACACAAGAACCAGATTCACTTAATACACACTCTATGCACACAAGATTAAAGACAGGAGCTAGTCAAAGGAAGAATTATGTAGCCTATCTTGCTTAATTTCCAAAGCTCCAATCATTGGATATTGCTGATATTCATGGTGGTGATGAACCAAAAACATTTAGAGTTGTTGCATCTAATCCTAAATGGGAACAAGCAATGCAAGAAGAGTTTGATGCATTGAAAACTCAAGGAACCTGGAATCTTGTACCCCCACCATCCAATAGATCAATAATTGGCAGCAAATGGGTCTATAAAATAAAACGAAATCCTGATGGAAGTATTGCACGATATAAGGCAAGATTGGTAGCTCAGGGGTTCACTCAAGAACAAGGTGTTGAATACTTAGAAACATTTAGTCCAGTAGTTCGACATACCACAGTCAGAATGATATTGGCATTGGCAACTTGTCATAAGTGGCAACTAAGGCAACTTGACATCAAGAATGCCTTTTTGCATGGGGAGCTTCAAGAAGAGATCTATACGAAGCAGCCACAAGGATTTTTGGATTTAAAGCATCCCAATCATGTGTGCAAATTGGTTAAGTCCTTGTATGGGCTTAAACAAGCTTCAAGAGCCTGGAATGCAAAGTTTACTGGAGTCTTGACATCTCTTGGATTCCATATGTCTCAATCTGATACAAGCTTGTTCTTTTAACATGATGGTGCGGATATTATCATTCTATTGCTTTATGTAAATGATATAATTCTGACTGGTTCCAATAGAGCAAAAGTCCAAATAATCATTACTCAGCTTGCAGAGTTTTTTTATTTAAAAGACATGGGGAGATTGACATATTTTCTAGGATTGCACATTCAATATAAATCTAATGGCAGTTTGTTTATCAATCAGTCGAAGTATGCAGAAAAGTTGATCAATAAGGTAGGAATGAGTTTATGTAAACCTGCCCTAACACCATCAAAACCTCATACACAACTGCTTACATCAGAAGGAACGGTTATGGAAGATCCAACGTTGTACAGAAGTATAGTAGGAGCACTGCAACACTTGACTTTCACAAGGCCAGATATAGCACACGCGGTGAATGTGGTCTGTCAGTACATGACTAAGCTTACTGATGCACATTTCTTCTTGGTAAATAGAATCTTAAGATATGTGCAGGGTACAATTGATTGTGCACTCACTTATACACCATCACCAAATATTAATATTTTAGCATTCTCTTATGCTAGCTGGGCTGCAGATATCAACACAACGAGATCAATTTCAGGATATGTAGTGTATGTTGGCAATAATCATGTCTCTTGGAAATCGAAGAAACAAGCATCCGTTTCACGAAGTTCAACCGAAGCTAAGTATAAAGCTTTAGCTCATTGCACTGCTAATGTTTGTTGGATAAGAAACCACCCTCTAGCTCTACTTTGTGATAATTTGTCTACTTTGGCACTCTCCTCCAATTCGGTGTTTCACTCTCGCATTAAACACCTGGATACTGACTATCACTTTGTCAGAGAAAGGGTTCAAAATAGGGATATAACAGTGCATTATGTGTTAACAGATTCTCAGGTTGTTGATATACTTACCAAGGGATTGCATAGTCCTCTGTTCATCAAGCAAGGCTACAATCTCAGACTCGAAAATCCTAGTGGATATTGAGGGGGAGTAATAACAGGTGTCAATAGTTTACTAGTCTATATGAAGAGATAAGGTTGTTACAATAGAGTTAGATGTATTGGATATGCCACATAGGCAAGTTAGTTAGGATTACTGTATATGTACTGTGAGTTTGGCACTGTGTGAATTAAGAAGAATCAGTTCAATTTTGCTGCTTTCTCTCTGCCTTCTCTCTAGATTTCTATATTTCTTTCTCTACACTTCTCATTGATTCTTCCTCTGTGCTTTTCAATCTTCATTGTTCATCAAGCTTTTCTTGATATAGTTAATAGTGGTGACCCTTGGGGGTGGTGCTACTTCACTCATCGTTGTGTTGAGCCTTGTAGATAGCCTTGGTCCTAATTCTTAAACGTTGGAATTTCCATTCGTCGAGGTTTCCAAATCTCTTGCCATTGTACTTTTCTTATACGTTTTATCGAAGAATTTTTAGAAATAAAAATTCCAAAAATAAGAACGTATGAAAAATTTACAAATAAACGAGGAAACGAAAAACCTTGAATGCAAGAGTGTTCTACGAGTGTGTGACTCAACTCTCAATGAATGCACCAATTTGGATGAAAATGCACTTGCAAAAACAATTAACACCTTAGGTCAAGACCAACAGCCTCACCCGCCCACGATGAATGAGGGGGATTTGGCCGAAGAACTTAGAGAATTTTGAGGGAAAAGTGTTTAGAGAATTTAGAGAATTTTGCAAGAGGATTCCACTTAGGTTTTTGGAGACATGAAGTGGTATTTATAGGGGTGTGGCCAGCCCCCTTTGGAGAGGTGGGAACCAGCCACATTTGGTGGTTTTTGGGTGTAATTGCAAGATATTATGTCACCATAATATCTTGCAATCAATTAGGAAATTAATTAATTAATTAGAAAATCAATTAATTAATTTAGGTAATTAATCCTATTTTGAATGAACATTTAGAGGTTACCTTGTGGGGAGGATTTGATGAGGATGGATGAAATAGGTTTTGAATAAATACTTATTTTGATCACTTTTGACCTTCATTGAGTGGTGATTGTCCATTGCTAGCACGTAGGAGTTCCAATGTGCCTCGGGGGTAATCTTATATTTTTCACCTAAAAATCCACGTATCGCCTCCATATTTTTCTTGATTATTTTTTTCTCCACATCCATGAACAATTGTTATTTCTACATAATTACTAACTCAAATTTATCATCTCACTTGATATAAAAATGTTATTTTATCTTTTTGGTAAAAGGGAAAATGCTTTTAATTTTTTTATGAAGAAGAAATTCACTAAACCTTAAAATCTTTAATATAACCGTTTCCAATACAATCAAAATTAAAGGCCCTTATAGCCGAAATTGGAAGACAATAATCCCAAAAAGAAGGGTTGGCAACAATGAGGCCCATATGATCGAATGCAGCCGCCACGAAATTTGCCTCTCTATTGTTGGAAATGTGCCCTAAACCCAATCATATGATGATACTTTACGGACATTTCACATGTTAAACAAATATAGTTTAATATAAAAGGCAAAGATTATTGTTTAAAGTCGTCTCATATAAATGTTATATGCTTAAACAATAAGTCCAAGGAATATGTAATTGGGAAAATGTGATCTAAAGAAGTTAGATTCATGAGTCTATTATCTTTCGTATACATATCCTAAACGTTCTTGATCATAGGATTGCCAATTGGGCATTAACAGTTTGTTAAGATCAATATGTGCTATGTCTTCTCTTAGAGAGAGTGACTAGTTTCGAGTCATTGGTGTGATTGACACTAAGACAAGCATGTAGGTGCTCAATAGAGAATGAGTCCACTGAACGCGATCAACAAAGAGTTCTCATACTCATGTAACATGAAAACGCATGGTTGGGATAATGCAAAGTATTCCTTTGACCTGAGGCATCATAGTTGTCTTATGGTTAGGTCCTTGATCTTTGACAATGTCAAAGTCACTCCGTCAAAAGGTATTCACGACATAGTTGGGGTTAAGCCACTTAGCCATGACAAGGGATCTCTAACCTTTAAACCATTTGAGGGAGAATACTCTATGATATGATTAAGAATCTCTGGCCAAAGTATGAATGAGATTTAGGAATTCGTTCCAAATCACATTCAAGGTAATCATGTAAATAAGAGAATCACATTGGATAGTAGACATGAATAAACTATCAAATCAAACAATATGGTCAAGAGTATTGTATTAGAGAAATACCGTATTGCATTGTAATCCCAAACTGAATAGGTCCTCCACCTCTTCTGATTAGCTTAGGTAGCCATGACATACTGCTAGGTGTCACTCATGGTTTATGGAAGCCCTAAAGGTGTATAATCACTAAAGGGAGAATTGAAAAGTAAGTTTCAATTCACAATCGATTTGAAGAGTTCTAATCGCCCACTGCCTCACTAAAATGAACCTAATGGATGGTACACCGTATAAGGTAGAGATTGAAGAAACAATGGAGATGAGTAAGGATAATTAAATGGTTTAATTATTTATGGCTAGGATTAATTAATATGTCAATTAATCAAACGAATAAGTTCGTTTTAGACCTCGGGTTAGTTTTGGGCCTCAAGGCCCAATGGGCTTCGAACATCAAGTTCAATAACTCAAGTTGTATGACAACTTGAAAACACAAGTGCATGAAAGCCTAATGAACCCACATGGCTGGCCATAGAGAGTGTGAGGGAGAATTGGTTTTAATTTCAATTATGCCACTCATTGTAAGTGGCTATAGAAGGGAAATTATAACCCATTCCCTCATAAGGGTTTTCCAAAGAGAAAAGAGAAAAACATAAAAAGCTCTCTCTTCTCTTTGGGGGCCGGCCACCCGAAGAAGAATAGACTAGCATCCATCTCTTTCTTGGTCTCTCATCTCTTCCTCAATGCTCTCCTTGGTGTGGAAACTTAGAGGTTCCCTTTCATGGGAACTTGGAGAATCCATTCCTTCATCCATATCCAATAAGTCAAGGAGCCAAGAAGCAAAGTTGCTCCATCCACATCCATGGAGCCAAGGAGCAAGGAGACTAAGGAAAGAAGGCCCTCACATGGGTGAATATCCTTTGCTAAGCAAAGAGGTGCTTCAAAGGTATAAAAGTTTCTCAACTCTTTTATTCAAGATTTGAGTTGAGCCTTGGTTCACCACAACTACTAGGCCTTGAATTTGATGGGTAAAGTTTTGTTTTTGAGTGTATACAAGCATGATTCCGCCTTTAATTGTTAATTGCATGCATAGATGTTGCTCAAATGAACTTGTTTTCACAAATTATTCCTTCAAGTAGTTGGTGAATCCTTTTGGGTTTTGTATTTTTATAGTTTATGTTTTGAATGTTGTAATTGTTACAAGCTTTATTCGCTTCTTTGAATGTAATTTTTGTTGGAAAATTTGCAATCTCAAAAGTTGTAGATGTACTTCATTTAAGCATGAATTTTGGAGCTAAAATTTGGTGCCATGTTTATGGGGAAATTAGGCCAAATCCAAGGGGTAGATTTTTGGGTTGTTGTTTGTCTTGTTAAAAGTGTTTTAAAGAGACATTAGGAACCCCTAAGTACCCTACGATGTTAACCCTCTTTTGAATAGTTAAAATTTGAGTTTTATTGAGTGAAAACTTTCATGAAGCTCTTATGGGTTTTCATGGATGTTCTTCAATATTTTTGCTTTGTTCTTGTTGTTCATACCAAGAACAAAAGGCTGGTTGTTTTGATTCAAAAAGGTGTTTGGTTGTATATTTGTTTTTTATAGTGATGGATGGTATGATTTTTTAAACAACACCCATACCTTTTTACTATTCACACCATACCAATCACTTACAACTTTCAATCACCTTTCAAACACACAAATCAACTCACACACATCATCACTACTCACCATAACCAACCACCCCTATAATGGGGGTACTATTGGGGCTTATATGCAATTACATAAAGTTTTGATCCTTTTGTGCATTTGCACTTTGACCCGAAAGTTTATGTTTTTACGTAAAGACTCAAAATCACTAAAGGACAAATTGTTTTGCTCCTTTAATGAAGTTTTTGTATTCGTTGAAATTTTTGGGTTCTAGTTGTAATTACATGAAGTAGTCGACTTTTGTGTTTTTACAAAGTGACCTCCAAAAGTTTGTATTTTGCAATATGGCCCAAAAGTTGAGGTTATTGCATTTTGGGCCAAATTAGTTGAGAACAAAATAGTTTTGTCTCTTTAAATGAGAATTGGATTTTCATTTTATTTAGCTCCATTTAAATCTTTTCTATGGATACAAAAACCAAATGACCATGTTGCATTCAAGTTTAATTAGTTAAAACGTTAATTAATTAAAGAAAGGGTGATTATGAACCTAAGCCTACGATAATTGAGCTATGTGAAAGGCCGTCTCTCAAATTTGTTTGAACCATGGGAATGTGTAGATTAGTTTTTTCTTGTAATTTGATATGATCAAATGTTGTAAAAGGGCATAAGCTCTTCTTTACTTTAAAGTATTTTGATTTGATCAAATGTTGTAAAAGAGCATAAGCTTTTCTTTACTTTAAAGTACTCCTCTCTTGTTTTATTTGATATGCAAAATTGGAGTAGTTATGTCCAACGCCCAATAAGAAAACACGCCTTAATGTGATTAAACGCGAAAGTAAAGTCAATCACCATCCCTAGACCGAGATCCAACACTAAGCTCGTGTTGGATCAAATCAAAGGTTCATAGTCATCCTAAGGCCCTAAGTTAAGTATATAGTCCATCAATGAATGCAAAGCTTATGTTAGTAGTAACATATACTCTTGCTTTAAAAATCGTTTTACAATCATAGTGGAAGTATCATATACTACTAAATCAATCACATGGACCAATAGTTATAATAGGACCAAATTGTTTTAATGAGATTAAAATGCATGCTTATATGTGATGAGACCTAAAAACCCTTAACTAAATTGTTATTAAGTTGACAAGCATGAGAGTGCTTTGAACACTTTTTTTCATGGCCTTCCACCATGGTAGGCTCCAATCGTTTGTGACTCATTCAC